CTATCCAGATTTTCTTTCTTTCTTTTTTTAATTTTTTAATGTTTATTTATTTTTGAGAGAGAGACAGACAGACAGAGCACGAATGGGGGAGGGTGGAGAGAGAGAAGGAGACACAGAATCCGAAGCAGGCTCCAGGTTCCCAGGTGTCAGCACAGAGCCAGACATGGGGCTCTGACTCATGGACTGTGAGATCATGACCTGAGCTGAAGTCGGACACCCAACCAACTGAGCCACCCAGGTGCCCCATTAAAAAAAATTTTTTTAATGTTTATTTGTTTTTGAGAGAGAGACAGAACGCGATATCCAGATTTTCTTTCTGATTATACAAGAAAAAAACTGATAAGCAAACTGTGGTATATACACGCAAAGGAATGTTATTCCACCTTAAAAAGGAGGAAAATTCTGGCACCTGCTACACCATGGGTGAACCTTGAAGACATTAAGCGGAGGGATATAAGCCAGACACAAAAGGATAAACACATTGTACGATTCCACTGATGCAAATCCATAGACAAAAAAGTAAAACAGAGGTTAACAGAGGCTGGGGGAGGGGGAATGGGAAGTCAGTGTTTCGTGGAGACAGAGTTTCAGTTTGAGAAGGCGGAACATTCTAGAGATGGATGGTGGGGATGGTCGCACGGCCATGTGAATGTGCTTGATAGCATTCCACTGTACGTCAAAAATGGCTAAGATGATAAGTTTTACGTTGTGCAGATGTTACCGCATTAAAAAAATATATATATATATATGTGTGTGTGTGTGTGTGTGATCTTTTTCACAAAAAGCAGCATACTATGAGATCTTTCCTTGAATACTACATCCTGGAAGTGTTTCCCGATCAGCCCGAGCAGACATTCTCATTCCTTTGCACAGCTGCAAAATATTGCATTGTGTAGATGGACAATAATTTATGCAACTGGTCCTGTACTGATGAATCTTTGGGCTCCCTCCAATCCTCTCCTATTATGTAAACGGCTACAACGGATGACCTTGTGTGCATACATCATTTCACACGTGTGCAAGCGTCTCTGTCTTGGGATTACTTGGCCAAAGAAACTATGCATTTGTCATTTCTACGAACATTATCAAATTCATCTCTATTGGGAAGGACTGATGTCCATATGTTAACATGGTCACTTCCTCATAGACTCACCGCACTGTGCGTGATTAGTCTTCTAAATTTTGGCCAACCTGATGGGTAAACATCAGTACTTCACATTTCTCTTTTTTTTTTTAACCATACTGTTTTATTTTTTTACTATTATTTTAAAAAAAAATTTTTTTTAACGTTTATTTATTTTTGAGACAGAGAGAGACACAGCATGAACGGGGGAGGGTCAGAGAGTGGGAGACACAGAATCTGAAAGAGGCTCCAGGCTCTGAGCTGTCAGCACAGAGCCCGACACGGGGCTCGAACTCACGGACGGTGAGATCATGACCTGAGCCGAAGTCGGCTGCCCAACCGACTGAGCCACCCAGGCGCCCCTTATTATTATTTTTTAAATATGAAATCTATTGTCAAATTGGTTACCATACAACACCCAGTGCACATTTCTCTGATATTAACTTGCGTTTCCCTTATTGTGAGTAAGGCTGTCCTTTCACATGTCAAAGAACCTTTTGTATTTCATTTTTTGTGAACGTCCCGATCACACGTTTTGCTCAAGGTTTTCTGACGTTTTAACGCTTTTATTTATTTTTGAGAGACAGAGAGAGAGTGCGAGTGGGGGAAAGGACAGAGAGAGAGAGAGAGGGAGACACAGAGTCCAAAGCAGGCTCCGGGCTCTGAGATGGCAGCACTAGCCCGACGTGGGGCTCGAACTCACAAACCGCGAGATCATGACCTAAGCATGACCTGAGCCGGAGTCAGACGCTCAACCGACTGAGCCACCCAGGCGCCCCTTGCTCAAGTTTTTCTATGGGACTGCTGTCCGATATTTTTTTGGGGGGGGGGCAGAAAGAGAGGGAGAGAGAGGGAATCTGCAGCAGGTCCCGCACTGCCAGCACAGAGTCCTATGTGGGGTTTGAACCCACCAACTGTGAGATCCTGACCTGAGCCAAAACCAAGAGTCGGACGCTTAACTGACTGAGCCACCCAGGCGCCCCTGGATTGTTTATATTTTTATTATTAATTCTTAGAAATTCTTTACATATTATGGAGATTAGGGTGCCTGTAATATGAAGTGCACTCTTCCCCCATTTTTTCAACTTTTCTGTGACATAATGTGGCCTTATTTTTATGTCATGGAATAATTTGCCTTTCTTATTGCTTTGAACCAAGTGAAAACCACCTTTGGGTTTCAGGTCAGAGGAAGAAAGGACCTGCCCAGACTAATTCTGTTAAAACAGAAAGAGAATATTGCTTTTCTTTTCAAAATTCTCCAATGGTTCCCCCTCTTACTTAGATTCAAAATCCACAGCTATGAGGCCTCCTACATGTTCTGACCCTTAAATATTAATCCCAAATTATCTTCTACTCTCTCCTTTTCACCCGCTTCATTCTGGAAACACTGACCTCCTTACTATTTCTTTTTTTTTTTTTTAATTTTTTTTAACATTTATTTATTTTCTTTGAGAGACAGAGAAGGAGCAGGGAAGGGGCAGAGAGAGAGAGAGAGGCAGACACAGAATCCAAAGCAGGCTCCAGGCTCCGAGCTGTCAACACAGAACCCGATGTGGGGCTCGAACTAATGAACCTCAAGATCATGACCTGAGCTGAAGCCGGCCGCTTGACCACTGAGCCACTCAGGTGCCCTTCCTTACTATTCCTTAAATGCTCCATGCACATTCCTACCTCAGGGCCTTTGTATTTGCTGTTCCCTCCGCCTAGAACGCTTTTCCCAGATAGCCACATGGCTCCCTCCTTCGGTTCATGAAGGTGCTCAGATGTCACCTTCTCAGAGAGGCCATAAGATCGTACCCTATCGCCCTATCCCCTGAACCTGCTTTATTTGTCAATACCTGACATACACGAAAGTTATGTTTCCTGCCTGTCTCCCCCCACTAGAATGTCACCTCCCTGGGGAGGAGACTGTCCTCTCCTCGACCACACCCCCAACCCCTACTAGAGTATGTGGCACATGATAGATACCCAAATATCTGACACCTGAAAGAACGGGTGGGTAAATTAAGGCGTCAAAATGAATCCGTGTCTGGGACACCTGGGTGGCTCAGTCGGGGTTAAGCATCCGACTCTTGATTTCGGTTCAAGTCATGATCTCGCTGTTCGTGAGTTCAAGTCCAGCGACAGGTTCTGTGCTGACAGTGCAGAACCTGCTTGGGATCCTCTCTCTCCGCCCCTCCCCCGTTTGCTCTCGCGCTCTCTTGCTCAAAATAAATAAATAAACTAAAAATTTTTTTAAATCAAACAAATTTTAAAAATGAGACTCCCTGTGGCCTATTAAGTATTTCAAGACCCCTTTCTTACAACGCCCCAAATGCCCCACGTCTCTTCCACGTCTTCACATGGGCTGTTCCCTCCCCCTGAAACAAAACCTACTTCTGTCTCCCACCCCTAACCCTTCACCAGATTCCTCTTACTGTCCTGAGACTTTCAGACTTTCGGGTCTCAGCCTAAATACCGCTTCCTCCAGGATGCCTTCTTTGATTCCTCAGCCTGGGTGGGTTAGGAGGTTTCTCTGGGCCCTCCCAGCTGCTTATTTGGGGGCAGTTTTCCCTGATCAGGCTTTCACTTCTGTTAGGGCGCCTATCCCGGTGCTTTCAGACCCAGTAATCAACCCCAAATGCGACTGTTGAATTCTTCTTCCTCCCCCACAGCAAGGAACAAGCTTCCCCTGAAATTTGTTACTGCTAGCAGGCCTCCTTGGACCGGGAACCAGAGGCATCTGGGGCGTGTCCTTAGGGATCAGGAGGCAAAGCCAGTTCCCGAAGCCTCAGGGACCAAGAAGTGACCGAGGAGCCTGGGTTGACACACAAGGTGACCAAGCAGAACGCGTCCTGGCGGCCTCATCTGGACCGAGACGCTCCTGACACCTCCTACCTGAGCAAGAAACGCCACCTTTCTGAGCATCGGTTTCCTCATCTGTGAAATGGAAGGGCTGCTGGCGAGAGAGCCCCTGCTAAGTGCCAGGACTGAAGTGTTTCACAAGTGAAGCCGTGCGCTGAAATGCTGGTATTTGTATTATTTCTTGCCTCCTGGATCCGGCCCGGCCTTTCCCGGGAAGCTGTGGGCTGGAAGCCTGGAGGAGGAGGGAGCGAAAACAGAGGCCACACATCCCTGCAACGCCGTCCCTCCCGCCCCGGCCTCCTTGCTGCAAACCCCGGGTCCCAGGGAGGGGAAGGCGGGCGGAGTCCGAGCGGCAGCAGCAGCTGTTCTGGGCGCGCGGCCAACGTCCCCTCCCTCCACCACCCGCATTCCTGCGGGAGGGGGCCGAGAGCTCCTGGGCTGGCCGGAGGCTCGCTGGCGCCCTCTCGTGGCCGAAAGTTGGACTCGACCTTTAACTGCCGTAGCGGACCCGGGTGGAGCCCACGGCGGGTCGCCTGCCGACCCCCTACCCTTCTCCGGCTCCCTCTCACACAGGTTCGCTGAACTTGCTGTGTGACCTAAGGCGACTCACTTAACCTCCCTGTGCCCCAGCTTCCTAGCTGCACAGTTTCGGGCAGGACGCTTCACCTTCTGGTGCCTAGGTTTTTGCATCTGCAAAATGGGTCAGTGGGTCCTGAGATTGCCGAGAGGACCCAAAGGGACAGTCCAGGTGATGGCAGCCACAGTAAACACCCACACCCCAGGGGAAGGGGTTTCCGTCCTGTTCCCTGCTGTGTCCTCCCCCCCCCCCCCACGCGCCGACAACAAAGCCAGCCATGCAAGTGGTGCTCAGATTTATTTCATTTATTTTATTAGTTGTTGAGCAAATGCTCATTCTTCATGAGACGCGAGCTCCTGTCGCTCATTCACCCAGTACCCACTTTTGCCTCCATCCATTTGTTCAACTCCTCCATCAATCTGATCATCCGTCATTCACTGGATGACTAAGCTGTGTCACAGACACCCCCCCACCCCCCGCCACACCGTTTGTTTTCAAAGTGTTTCCCCGCCTCCTCTGTTGCTCCCTCATACCCGAGGGCGGTGCTGGGCCCTCCCCCAAGTCAAAACCGAAACTCAAGGGAGGTGCGGGCCTGAGCAGGCTTCAAAAGCCTCAGATGTGTTTACCTAACAAGGATTCCCACTCCTGGGTGACTCAGTCAGTTGAGCATCTGACTCTTGGTTTCAGCTCAGGTCATGATCTCCTGGTTCATGGGGTCGAGCCCCTGCATCAGGTTCTGTGCTGGCGGTGTGGAGCCTACTTGGGATTCTCTCTCCCCGCCTCTCTCTCTGCCCCTCCCCTGCTCCCCTGCTCATGCTCTCTCTCAAAATAAATTAAAAAAAAAAAAAAAAAAAAGAGTTCCCTCGGGAGACAGAGATACTGGCAGACTAACAGGGAGCCCAGACTGGACAGAAAGGTGGGAGGGACTGAGAACAGTGCCCCTGCCATCCTTCACCTTTGGACGACCCCTTGCTCTGGACACCTAGGAGCCCCTGGGACAGAGGGAGGATGTGGACACCTGGGGTGGTCACAAAGATGTGAGGGGGAGAGCTCACACCCAGCTGAGGGACGGCTGAACAGAACCAGCGGAGATTCCCGGAGAGCAGGGAACAGCAGTGGAATACGCCACCCCGAATGGACACCAGTGTTCTAGAACCTTCCAAATTGGGTCTCACCTGCTCCCCTGACCCAGGCCTTTATTTGATTCTCTTGATTCTTGGGTTCATAACAGATTGTTTACCATGGTCTCAAGAGTATTCCCCAGAGCCTCACGCTCACCCGCCTGCCACGAGGCAAGTTGCTTACCTTCACCGGGCCTCAGCTTCCTCATCCGTACAATGGGTGGTAATTCTCACTTCAGCATAAATGTGAGACTTCTGTCGGTGTACACAAAGCATGTAGAACAGCACCTGGCACACAGCAGGTGCTCAATAAATGCCCAAGGAATAAATGATTCAATTCTACCTTCCCCCTTTGTTTCTGACACGTCTGGTTTTCCAGCTCTCTGCAAAGGTAGAGTCTGGAAAGCAGGCGAGGGTTGAACCTAATTAACAAGAGGCTGTGAAGTTTAAGGAAGAAATGCATCATGGGCCCTTAGCAAGTCCTCAGGAAATGTCCACTCCACAGGGGCAGGGACTTTGTCTTGTGGTCACTTCTGTGTCCTCAGCATGCTAAGGGGGGGCTGGGCTCGTAGTAACTACCTATCCAATCTTTGTTCCATAAGTGCATATTGTCATTTTTTTGGAAGCTCTGGGCTTTCCCAGGCTCTGCAAGCTGGCAGCAACGGCTTCACTGAGAAACGAAGAACCAGACAAACTTGTCTGCAGCCCCCTCTGCTTCTCAGAGGCAGGACCACAAAGTGGCTCCAACATCTTTAAAGGGCATATTAAACAGGCAGTGAAAATTATTTCGGGATAGAGAAAGCCTTCTTCCAGGATGCCTCAAGCATGATGTGTTTGTGTCCCTGGTTCAAGATGTATAATTTGCCTTCTGGAAAAAGGAGCCCAGAGAGCTTGGCATGATTTAAGAACAATGGACAATGGTCACAATTTACCAAGTGTAATTGTGCAGAAAGATCTGAAGCCCAGCGAGAGGATTTGACCCGTGCATTTTTGAGACGGTTCCCTTATAGTGGGTCCTGGGGCCAGATGGCTCACTGCCGTGGCTGCTCACGCCTGTGACCCAAGAAATGAATACATAAAGCCTGTACAGCCCCGGTTGGAGCAGCTACCCCAGCAACTCACCAATTACATAAGGGCAGAGGCAGGGACTATCTTGTTTCTTCCTGCCCCTACCAGTCAATCCTAACCAAGCTCTGAGTCCAGTCTCCCAATGCACATGGCCTGGGCTCCTTGCTGGTAGCGGGGAAGGCTTCAGGATAAGATCTCATGGGTCATGGAAAGGACAACCCCTCCCCCCACCACCACCACTCAGGCCCCCAAGTGGGGAGCTGGAATACTTTTTTTTTTTCTTAATGTTTATTTATTTTTGAGAGAGAGAGAGAGAGAGAGAGAGAGAGAGACAAAGTGCAAGTGGGGGAGGGGCAGAGAGGGAGGGAGACACAGAATCCGAAGCAGGCTCCAGGCTCTGAGCTGTCAGCACAGAGCCCGCTGCGGGGCTCGAACCCAAGAGCCTCGAGATCATGATCTGAGCTGAAGTCGGATGCTTAACCGACTCAGCCACCCAGGCGACCCTGGAATACGTCTTAGTGCAGCTGTCCCCGGCCTCCGTGGAGGGTGGCTGAGGAGGGGGGAGCAACCTCTTCTTCCCCCACTGGATTTATGGGGGTCCCCTCCCCACGTCTGTTTAGATGTTAACTCAGCCAGGCCAGGCCAAGGCAAACAGACCAGAGCTGGGATGGACAAGAGGACAGGTGTCTGTGGCCTGTCGCTGCACACATCAGCCTCCCCCTCCCCGCCCCCGCCGCCATGGACTTGTCCTGGCCCATGGGGTTGCTTCTACTCCTCTTGGGGACCCCTCTTGCCCACGCTGAGCCACTGTGAGTCTGGGAAACTGAGGGCACTCAGCTGTTGCCCGCATATCTGTTGTCTGCATGATTCCCTGCATGAGACCCTGCCTCTCTGCTGCTGCCGCCCCCACTCGGGTCCCCCCGCCATGTCCCTGCGTGTGTCTACTGACAGGTACATCTTGGTGACCCCCCGAGTCCTGCGGGTGGGCAGCCCTGAGAACATCCACGTACAGGCTCACTCGGACTCCACGCAGCCCCTCACCGGGACCCTCGAGGTGAACCTCACCGTATGGGCCCCATGAAGGAGACAGTGGTGGCTAAGAGCCAGCTCATTCTCTCACCGGAAAACCACTCTATGAAACAGGCATCGGTGATGGTAGGTGATAAGACAGCATGGGTGGCCACAAAGGGAGCTCTGGATCAGAAGCAAGGATGGAGAGGGGCAGGCTCTAGAGGGACTCCACACGAGGGACACTGGAGAATAGATGCGGGGTTTAGATAGACTTACTGCGCCTCTTATGTCCTGTCCAGGTAGAAATCCAAAGTCCCCTGAGTCTGGGCTCCAAGAAGGGCAGTGATGAGCTCTGGTGGTGCCTCTGTGGGAATTAATGGGAGGCGCCCTCTGCTGGTGGCTTGAGGAGCTGAACATGGACTGGATTGCATCCTTCTCTTGGCTGGAAGTCCTTTGCCAGATGTCCTTGTACAGGGGCAACGGCAGAGCCAGAGGGCCCCCATTCGATTGTTTTTCCAAGATATGGCCCAGGGCTTTGCTCCCAGGGATGGAGACCTCAGCAGAGCCTGAGGAGCGTGGGCATCTCTCCCCAGATATCCGAGAGCCTGGTGTACCCCCCACAAGCAGGGCAGCAGTCCATCATCATCCGGGCAAGCTGGGCACCCATCTCGAACTCTTCATTCATGGAGGAGATAGTGCTGGGGGCTCCCCACGCTGGCTACATTCGCCCAGACGGACAAGACTATCTACACCCCTGAGCACTTGGGTACAGCCCCCGGGCACTCGGCCTAGGGCAGATGCTGATTCTCATTCCCAGTCTCCCCAGCAATGCCTGAGATGTCCCACCTCTCGAGGTCTCCCTCTATCCAAAGTCCCCCTACTGCAAAAGATCCGATGGCTACCTCCCTTTCCAGATTCTATCCAACACTCAGAGTTTTCCCTCTTCCTCCAGTTCAATACTGGGTGTTTGCTGTGAACCACAAGATGAATCCTGTGACCGGGACATTCACTCTGGACATCAAGGTGGCCTCTCCTGATAGGAAGGTGGATCCCAGACACTGAGGTCCTATCATGTGCTAAAGGCCTGGGGCATGAACCACCCACCCCCTGTCCCCACAGAACCCAGAGGGGATCACCGTGATCATCCAGAATCTGCTGGCCAAGGAAGGTTTCTTCGCGAGCTCTTTTCTTCGCAATCTCACCTCCCAGAGATTCTCAGGTGCCCTGCTGGAAGCCCTGTGGATGGAGGCTCTCCTTCTCAGTCTCCATCTCTCCTCATTCTCTGTGTCTCAGTCTTGAGACCTGGAGCATCGAAGCCAGTTACCAAAGTGCAGCCAAGCAGAAGTTCAAGGCGGCCGTTGACGTCAGGGATGACGCAGGGTGAGTAGGATGTGATGGGCAGGGCAGGGAGGGACATGCAGGGAGCAGGAGTGGAAATAGAAAGGAAGGCTCGTGGTGCACCTACTGTGCACCAGGGCCTAAGCTGTATGCTGGTGAACAGGACATGTGTTCCAGTCCTTGGGGATTGCCAGAGCCACTGAG